AGAGAGAGGTAACACGGAAGTCACCTGTCCTGACGAGCCCATCCCATCTGATCTCCGCTACTTTCCGCCTCCGCCCCAAACGAGCGTTACCAAGAACTTCACATTCTCACGCAGCGGTGATGATTGGCAGGTCAACGGTGTGGGATGGGCAGATGTAGAGCACCGCATCTTAACGCGACCGACACTCGGCGCGGATGAGATTTGGGAACTTCGACACGGAGGGGGAAACGCTACGCATCCGGTACACATTCATCTCGTCGATTTCCAGGTGCTGTCACGCACGGGTGGTCGCAATGCTGTCAGTTCCTACGAAGCCGCTGGCATGAAGGATGTAGTTTGGATTGCGCCGAACGAGACTGTGCGAGTTGTAGCCCGATATGCGCCATGGGACGGTGTATAGTGAGTCATTGAATTGCACCAGGATATGGTATCGTGGAGCTAACGTGCGCAAAGCATGTTTCATTGTCATAATCTCGTCCATGAAGATCACGAGTAGGTGTTGTTCAAATTGCAAGCACTTGCACTTGCCGAAACTGACAACCCTTAGCATGCTGGTAGCTTTCAACGTGACCCAACTGGAGAAATGGGGATATGATAGCGAAACACACTTCATTGATCCCATGGAGCCTGCGTTTCGCCCGAAGAATGTTGTGCCTGAAGACTATACTGATGAAGCAGTGAAAAGGAAGATAGAGTGGTTCTGGGGTACGAACGCCTACAATCGGACGTCTATCGTAAAGCGGGTCGGCAGGAACTTGATGGCGATAAGCTCTTCAGCTTAAGAGTGGGAAGTGGGTCACGCAAGCATCACCAGCTTTGAGCAAAAATTCTATCACTGATTACATGTCCGCAGCTTCAACTGCTGGGATATTGAAAAAACTGTTTTATGAACACAACAGCTGCTGACTCATCCATCAACAACACTATCCCAGATCGTATAGTGGTTAGTATTTCTGCTTGTCATTTCCTTGAAAAGACAACTCGCAGGAGACCTGAGTTCAATTCTCAGTCTGGGAGCACACATATCTTTTTGATCCTTGATGCCATGGAAGGTTTTTTTTTGTCTAGAACTTTTTAAATCTGCTCACAGCCCACCGCAATGCAGTGGCCACTCTATAACGCCCAAGACATACTTTGTCTTGCTATTAGGTATATACCTTCCCCGTCTATCGACATGTATACCAGGAAAGTCCACGCCATTCCCTCCTTCTACACCCGTTCCTCATATTCGCACATCACCTAAAGCCCCCCGCCCCTTCCTGGAGAATGAAAGTCCAGAGGACCCGTTAGAGGCTGTCCATTCGCTCTTGCTACACTATACACACCTACCCCCCTACGAAAGTAGTTACCAAACCCCAATAGAATCTATACGGGCGTAGGCTTCTTGCTCTCGTGCCCCAGTCCAAATTATCTCAAAGACAGACAGTCACACACAGGCAGGTAGGAGCATTGGCTTTGATACAAAACAGTGTATAATTTTTCTGTGATATATTCCATTGAACAAACATGGGGCCACGGGGTGGCCAAAGTAAATCGACAAAAGTGGGAGTGAAAAGAAGAGAAGGAGTCTAATCTTGAGCGCATCTACTCCAGCGACATCTCTCGCAGTCGAACCTGACCAACAGGATGAGTGCGAGACTCTTTGTTAGTGCGGATACATAATTCACCTTGCCACGTGTATGCAGGCATCTTGCCCAGTGCGTAGAACGACCTTTGTGCATGCCTTTGGTGGCCGAAGCGGAAACGGTAGTCGCCATGAGCACCATCCCAGGCGCGGACTGACTTCATTATGGATGTCGAGGCTAGTGTTGGCGATGGTCTGGTCAGACGCTAGAGCAGATGTGTCATGACGGAAATGACCAGTCATTGGGCACGTTGCGTTGGCATCAGGTACGTTGAAGGGGCTCGCTGCCAAGATCTGTGTTGTCACCTTTGAAACGGTTGTTCAAGGTGTTCGCTCAATGTCCAATCAGTCATAAGCCGTTCCACCGCCAATCTGACTAGCAAACGCAGTTGAGACACTGCGGGCGTCGTCGTCGTCACCGAAGCCACCTATACCACTGCGTAGACCACGGCCAGCACCGAATCCAGCGCTCATGTTGGGGCCTTGACGAGTGGATTCGACAAAGCGGCTGAGTCTGTCAGATTGGCTCATGGAGGTTGGCTTGTTGTAGTCGTTCAAGCTTAGGCCAGAGAGACTGATGCCTCCGGGTGCGTCGCTGCGAGTGTCTGTGAGCTCGCTAGCAGCGACAGATTCACCAGCAACACTTGCAGGAGCGCCATTCTTGCCTTTACCGTTGGGGCGGCCTGGAAGGGGCCAAGACTCCTGGAAGTTAGAGAACATGGGAGGGTAGTTGGAAGAGACTCCGACACCACCGAGGGCAGAGGAGTGCACCGAAGACACATCATCCGGGATATAGCCAACAATCGAACCGTTGTCGTTGTACTCTTGGCGTGTGGGCTTGCCACCGTTCCAGCTGGCCTGGCGTCCCGATGTCATGGCGTTGGCGTGCTGGTAGGCCATCTGGTAGCGCTGGGGGCCCCGGTAGGTCTGCTTGGGACGGCTGAACTGGAGAAGAGACACTTGGAGGTTGGTCAAGGGTCCCTCAACAAGACAGTTGCGTTCTTTGAAGTGCAGGAGAAGGTAGTGCCATAGCGGATGCTTGGATAGAACCTTGGGGTTACCTAGGATGACTAGACCATACTTGGCTCGTGTGAGAGCAACGTTGAGACGACGAGGATCGCTCAAGAAACCGATGCCCTGGTGGTCGTTGGAACGAACGCAGGAGAGAATGATAAAGTCCTTTTCACGACCCTGGAAAGCATCGACTGAAGCAACCTCGACCTCCTTGTAATTCTCCTTCTTGAAGCTACCAGTGGCTTGCATCGAACTAACAACGTAACTGCGCTGGCCTTCATATGGCGTGATGATTCCAATATCACTCGGCTGAACACCAGCTTTGAAAAAGCGAGTGACAATTTTCTCGACATTCTGAGCCTCTGTACGATTGAGATAAGATGTTCCCGAGGCAGAGATCTCCTCAACGCCAAGGTTGGACCAAAACATCATTGGACTGTCGACAACTGGCCAGGGAAAGTCGACATCACGACGAATGCGCTCCTGCATAGTAACGCCATTCTGAAGGGATCCCTCGTAGAACATGTTGGAAGGAAATTCGGAGAGACAAGGGTGCATGCGGTACTGAACCTGAAGTCGGATGGGAGAGCAACCGAGAATGACCAGACGCTCAAACAAGGATTGGTTCAAACCAGCCGTAGCGGCCTTCTTGTTCATGATGACTGGGCCAAGTTGCTGGTGGTCACCTACAAGAACAACTTGCTTGCATCCGAGGACCAGAGGAATCATGCACTCGGGTTCGGCAGATTGGGTCGACTCATCGATCAGGACGGTGCGGAACTTCATCTTGGACAGACGAGGGTCACCAGCTCCAACGCAAGTACAGCAGATGACATCTGCAGCGTTCAAGATCTCGCGCTCAGCCGCGCGAGTAAGCTGCTTGAACTTCTTCTCATCTTGGCTCGACAGTTCGCCCACGTCGCTCTTGAGCTGGTTCAACTTGTTCAGCTCGACATTGGTGTCATTCATGCGGACCTGCTCATGAAGAGACAGGAAGCCAACGGGTGATTCGACATCCTCCCGAGACTTGGCCGTCACACGGACAGTCTTTAGTCCAGTGAGATGAATCCGTTCGCACAATTGATCGACAGCGACGTTGGATGGTGCGCAGACCAAAACCTGACTTCCGCTAATCTTGCAGAGGTGGTATATAATGGTAGCCGAAGTAACTGTCTTTCCCGTACCAGGAGGACCTTGGATCAAGCTCAAAGGCTTCTGAAGGACGCTCTTGACAGCATTGATCTGACTGGCATTGAGCTCAGGAAGACCGGGGACACTGAATTTGCGGGGAATCGAAATCTTCATGGGTGCTGAAGCCACCTCGTGGCCAAGCAGACGGTGAAAGATGTAGCCGGAAACACTCATCTCGTCGATGGCGAATGTCTTCATGGCGTGCTGCATGCGGTCAAAGGAGGTGGCTTTCCAGACGTAGTCGGCGCTGAAGTTGTGTGTGCACTCGGTGGGGACGGACTTGTGGTCACCCTTGGTGCGCAGTTCGATTGTGACCTCGTCCGACTGGTTGTTGGGAATCTTGATGACATAACCAACGCCTTCCCAGTGGGGGCGAAGCTCTCCAGTATAGCGGAGGCGCATCTCGTCACCGACCGCCAGCTTGACGTCACCCAGTTCCAGCTTAGGGAGAATGAAGCTAGCAGTGTGCTTGTTGTTGAGTGCCATGTCCCAGCGTACGACCAGATTGTCCTGCGACTGCGACTCCTTCAACTTGCGATCATAGTCGGCCTCGATCTTGACCAGAGGGCCAAACACATTCTGATATTGGAAGGCATCATCGTAACGGAGCAGCACCTTTGCAATGACCTCCTCTTGGCCGGCGCCCTTTTCGAGATCTGCAATCGTCGCATTCTGGTTGTCCTTCCACAGTTCTTCGAGCTTCGCGATGGTCTGGGGGCTGAGGTGGCGGGCGCGGAGCTGCTCTTGGTCGGTGGGGGCGGGAACCAGCCAAGGGAGGAAGGAGCGATCTTCGATGAGCGGCTGCCAGCGCGACGTGTCCCAATTCATGTCTTTCTGTGAGGGCATGGCAGCGCATGGCTGGCGACAGAGCAGGACGACGACGGTGTCGGATTTGGCGGGGATGAAGCCCAGGAGGAAGACGTTCTTGGTGCCGCAGTTGTAGCATTCTAGTGTCGTGTCGCCGAGCGAGGAGGCGGGGTGGAGCTGGACTTCCTTGTGGCGGGCGCGCACAAGGTGATTGATGATGTGCGACGACGACGAGTTGCCGCGCGCACTGCAGAACCACTTGCTGCAGGCCAGGCACTTGACCACGCTGCCTGCGTTGTGAATGCCGCAGTAGGCACAGGCGTGGCTAGGCAGTTCCACCTCAGCGTCCTCTTGCCTCGCAGCCGCCTGCCCGTTGGCTCCGCCCACAGGCATGCTCGCCATACTCTCTAGGTCATCCTCATCGAATTCCTCGTCGTCGTCCACGCGTCGTCTCCGCGAAAGGCTACCGCGGGCCAGGTCACCATCGAGAATGCCTTCGTCGACGTCACCCGCGTTAATAGTGGCGGCCGAGTCGGACACCAGGTGGTTGCCCATATGGGTAAAGGCGCCCTCCATGTTGCGAATGCACCGACTTCAATGATTTCTGGCGGATTCCGGACACGTGAGGGGGGTGGGTGGAGGGGGGCCGGTTCTGGCGGAGATTTGGGTCTGGTGGGTTGGACAAATGAAGAATGAAGTCTGCTCACACCATTTCCAGCGGTGGAGGGGCTGCGCTCGGTGGTGTTGCGCGTGCTTGACCGTGTGTATGGGTGTGTGCGATGTCTCTGTGTGTGTGTATGGATGTTTGCGGAGCGGAAGGTGGTGATTGTCGCTGGTGGCTGGCGGGGGATCAATCTGATGTGAATTCCAATACTGGCGGCGGCGGCGTGTCGGCGTCTGCAAATATTCGGTCTTGGCACACCATCGTCTGGGGGCTTTCATCTCAGGGTCCCGCACTAAGAGTAAGCACGCACTTGATCTTTCCTTCCTTCCTTGAATCTTTCCTTCATCCGTTTCCTTTCACTCCTTCGTTTCCACATCAGCATCATCGTCGTCGTCATCAACCACATCGCACCTCAGGCAACTTCTGTTCACGCACTGAACCTGCACCATAGTGACTCTGCCAGCAATTCCTTCATTACAACTGCTTTCTTCCTGTTGTCATAAAATGCGCCCAGGGCCTTTGCTGTTTAGCTTTGTACCAATGCAGCAGAGCCGCATCTGTGGACCCTCTCTTTATCGGGAGTGCCCATAGCGCTCCGACATCGACATCAACATCGCTATTTTTTTGTGTACCCATCGAAATGTTAATATTATAGCACACTTCACATCTCATCGGCTCTGGCGCATCTGGCCAACTCGAACCATGCTGGTATCGCTTCATCCCACGCTTGTGTCACCTGCCAGAATCCAAGGACCGGTACATGACGATACTTCATTCCCTCCACAAGGCAGCAGCCTTCGCTTGCGCAACGCAGCAGCAAGATGACACTCTCATGTGCGTTGCTATCGCCGGCAAGCTTCCGAGCGCCGCGGACCTAGCCATTGGCCGCTCGACTGATACGCGGACAATCGGCCTGCTTCTAGAAACATGACAATATTGGTCGCTTATGGATGTTCATATCTAAATGCGGGGTGCATGCTCAGCTCACTCTCTCCTCGCACTGCTCGCCCGCGGTGTCGCATCGTTATTGCCTAAATGGCGAAACTCTGTCGGTAGTTGGTGTCTTATCATGACCGGCTTACCTCGCAAGCAACAACACAGTGCTGACAGTGGCTAAAGTAGTGGAACGGCGACGTCTTGCTTCCGTCTCATGCACAAGACTTGATGCGTGAGCGGTAAGGCCCTCTCGAATGCTTCGCAAAAAATGGACTAGAACTGCATGGACTCGAAGGCTACAGGCCGTGACAAATCGGTGTAGACTCGACGTTGTGCTCGTCATGCACGCACTCGGAGCTTGATATCAAGGCACGCCCCTTTACAGCCATCTGCAGCATAGGTACATGCGAAGTGGATCTGCGTGCTGCAGCTGCTCAGTGTGATCGGAGATCAACACCACAGTAAGCGGAGAACGCCATCATGTCGGATATTGCGGATAACGCAGTCGTCGATGGAGCACAGCGCGCTTATCATGCTAAGTGCGCAATGTATTTATCTGTCGCCTCACTTTGTGCAGCTCCGCAATGACGTCCAGCGATGGTGAACCATGCATACCGCATCTCGGTCAGAAGCGGAGAATACTTATACCAAATCGAGATTCAAGGACGTTGGAAACCTACATTGCAACCGTCAGTCTGACCGATCGTCTTGGTGATACCATCTGATCTCAACTCAGACGGACAATAACCTCATGCAGATAAAGCATGAAAACAGTCAGCCTGTACAAGCACACAACTGCACTCCAATGCGGGGGATTGTCATGTATGTGCCACAGACCTCAAGCCCCCCATCGAAGATCTAGTTTGAAATGTCGTACAGCACGCAAGGTACAACAGGAACCACGCATGTTGCCCTGAGGTTGGAATTGTGTACCGATCGAATCAAGACAAGCTCTCGTAACAGTCTTGCTCACTCGCCAGCGCCTTTCCGCCCCCACCATGACATGCAGGTCGACCACAGGGTAGCATTCACTGAAGACGGTGGAGATCACGGACAAAAGACGTGCAGGTCGCATGCATCAATCTCACACTCACATAGTCTGGAGGACTATCTGTACTTGCTCCGCACCAAATCAGATATAGTGGAAGGATCAATACATAAGCACGTACACACAACACAGAGATAGTACTCTAGTAATTATGCCGTACTACTACACCTCACTCGGCAACCCTTGCCCCCCCAACCTCCAAACCCTATACATCCATCCATCCTTGGAAGTTTGAACCACGCTCGCTCAGCACCACGCCCGCCCAGACCCCACAAGAAGTCGGCGCATGCTGTGCCTGTCATATTCATATCATCATGTGTGACACCCACCCTTGAGACTTGAGTGGTGGCCTCGTCCCGCTCTCTCCGCCAGCAACGAAGCGGGCGCAGGACAATGACTCGACTTGGCCGCCATGTGTTCTGGTGTGTGTACTGTACTGTACTATACTGTACGGGTACAGTGCGGTACAATGCATGACAACAGCGCATGGCATGCATGCATATTCGTCTAGCAAACCGAATGCGGGATGCGTTGTCCCCCCCTGCCTGGACTTCCCTGCCTGGTCTGCCCGCCCGCCCGCCTGCCTGCCTGCTCCCAAGTAACTCGCCCACGTCGGGGTGGGAACGACGCACGGATCGTTTCCGCCTCGTGTCTCGATTAGTGCCCGTACTTTGGTTGTACTGGCCATTGGGAGAGGAGTACATCGAGTACGTACCAGACTGGACCTAGGCGACTTGCATTATCATCGTACGTACCGGTGTAGTATATGGAAATGTAATGCGCCAATTGAGTAGGTTGTATCCAGAGTACCGGCAGTTGTGGTTCACATAGTCGCATGTACCTATCTGCCCCTACCTATCCATACATCATTCTTGCCGCCAGGTAGGTATCTCTGGATCCCAAAGGTTGCATACACAAATTCCAGTCACGACACCCTCCCCGCGGCACGTCCACTTCCGAAACGTGAATCCACATGTTGCGTACGGTAGGCAGTAGAGATGAGTAGGTACAATACCAGGTATATCAGAATGAGGCGAACCCTCCACCTCAAACAAGACGAGGCAGCGAACGAGGGACCAGAGGAAAACAAAAAGGTTGCCGTGGATACTGGGGGGAGAGATGAAGTGATGGGGGTTGATTAATGCAACATCGGCGATCATGAATCATTGCACGTTTGTGCGGGGACCGGCGGTCTGGCTCTCAAGAATTGGTTACCCGTTCCTCCCGCGTCTTTGTTTCCCGCCCGTCTTGCACCAGAAGCACATGCGTTATTTTTTTTATAACTTGCATGGATTTGGGGGGTTTGCATGGATGATGCTTGGAGATTATGATACTTGGAGAACAGTTACGGACTTGCGATGCGACTGCATGCTAGTTTTTTTTATCACTCGAGTCTGGCTTGTGTCGTGTGTACCACATGTACCTATGGTAGTGTGCTCATCTCCCATAGGTACGGTAGGTTAGGGCATTTCGTAACCAGCATACACAGACCTGTTACTCGTGAAACCGAAGATCCTCGACCTGCTCGCCTTGTAAAAAAAAACTTTTCTGAATCTGGGTCTTTGTTTGCCAAATACAAGGCAAGAAGCTAGATTGTCGGTCCCAGCATACTCTATTCACGGCCTGGGAGCCTGTCCGTACGAGGGGGGAATCCACGTCATTGCAGGAGGTAGTAAATATGCACTATACCAAGCGCCTGCGCCGGCTCAAGCAGGTCGGGGCCAGGTGGTACCGATAGGTGCCCTTGGTACTAGAACTGAAGATTATGGTATGAAGAATCGTATCATACGCGCAGAACGCCAGCATGTCGCATGTACGTACTGTGTACAATACCTATGCTCATGGCAGACGGGTGATGTCATCATCATTATTATAATCCTCACCATTATCGTCGTCGTCGCCACAACAACAGCAGTACTCCCCAAGCCCTCCCAGAAAAACCCCACAATACTACTTACTCTACAGCCTTACAGCACCGATACAGCATCCAGCTAGGTTTTGCACCATACTCATGCGAACGCACCCGCCAAACCCAGCATGTGAAAAACCTTTCTACACTACACTACACTGCACTACACTACACTTTACACTGACTACCACACACCTATCCCACATCCACTCACCAACACCCAAATCCCTAATCCCCAAACCCTCATCCTCAATCCCCATCCCCATCCCCAACCCCACACCCACCATGCAAAACCCCCACAACCCACCCCTGCCAATCCCGCAATCCCGCACCCCCCTTGCAACCTCCCACCCCTCCCCTGCAACCATTTCCCTCCCCTCCCACCCCGCGCGCACAATGAACACGCGGGAAGAAAAGCTCACACCAAGAACGGGAGCTAGCCACGTCAGTGGGAAGCCAGCCAGCCTGTCTGTCTGCCAGCCTGCATGTCGTTGCATGTCGTTTCCGCGTGCGTGGTGTGGTGTGGTGTGCAGAATGTCAGGGAGGGAATATGTACTATGTAGTTAACTACCTAGCTGTATGACGACTCTGAGCAAGTGAGCGTGGCTGATGACATTGTCGTGTGGGGATTTTTCTTTATGCTCTCCGTGTGCGTGTTTGGCGCTTCTTGCGGGAGGTATGTCGGGCGTACATCGGTGGGGGGCGGGTGTTGGCTTATTTGCGGTGTGTTGTGTGTGTGGTGCTAAGACTGCTAAGGATACCTATGAGCGGAGAGGATGGATTGACAACACGAGAAGGATTGGATGGGAAAAGCCCCTTGATTGGAAAGGAGCGTGCAAGGTCGTGTTGCAAGAATAATGACTATACAATGCAATAATGCACCGAAGCATGTTGGTATCATTTCTATATATTCGCACATTAAATGTTGCGTTATTCTGGTATCTTTCCCGTTGTGTTGTTACTATAGTTGCCCGACGCCCAATGCCCAATGCTCAATGCTCAATAATGCCCTGTAACAATCCCAACAAACATCAAACAAAACTCTTCTCTTCAAGCCAAAATTCTAGCCATGTCAGGTGCCCAGGGATATGCAGGAAGGTTAGGTAGCATTGAAACCCAATGCACATCCTTCCTGCAAGCCGGCCCGGCCCACCACATCCATCGAATCGAGAAGAAGCCTTCAAATCGCCGCAATCCTAGAAAGAAAGAAAAGCCCATGTCCTGCATTGAAGCGAAATGGATCACCGCTTCCCCACAGGCAAGGTAAAAGTGAGGCAAAATAAAAGAGGGAACAGATCAACAGATAACCACCCAAACTAAGAACTCGAGCGAGGATACTCACAGAGCATATGCAGCGAGTAGTAGTATATGCAAGTTGTTGTCGTTCATGTCGTCATGTAGGAAGCGCAAACATCGAACAAAGGAAACAGGAGAAGATGAGGGGAAAAAAGAGAGAAAAAGCCAAGGTATATACAGTGAAAGGCGAGTAGGGTGTCGTGTGCGAGCATCGAAGCTCATTGGTGGTGAAGAAGACAAGTCTATAGGATATCACCAAGTCGGGCTGGAGGCTTGCTCGCCGGCAAAGCCATCCAAAGCTACCGTGTAAATCCGGAATCAAACGCCTGTAACTACATGTAATGCCAAGATGGTTATGAATTGGGTATATGCAGAAGAAAAACAAAAAGGGGACATGGAGGAAGCGATCGGAGTCTTGCTCGACAAGATCGAGAAAAACTTTTCGGGGGAGACGTTGATTTGGCCGAAGCGATTGTGTGGCGAATACGAGAAGCAGAACGGTCCAGGGGGTGCGCCATCTGCTTTCCCAGACAGAACTGCTTTTGCCAGCTCGGCGTGAGAGGTTCCGAATGGCTCGAAATGAGCATTGCAGCACGGATATTGCAGTGCGGGATAAAGTTACCGCGGCTTCCTGTTGCGGCATTGGTTCCATGCAAAAGCCAACAGAGCAGCCGCAATTCCAAGGAACGCCATGAGCAGCAAGTACATGGTGCAGACGAAGAGTGGTCTGATACAGGTGCGGTCCAATCATGTGTCATGACGACGCGATGTTCTCGTGTGCGTCGTTGCAAACCAGGGGTTGAAGATGCGACCAATCTACAGCATCGCTTCAAGGATCACTGAACGTGCTCGCACGACTGATGTGATCCAGATCTGACTCGCGAGAGTCGCTGCCCATGCGTTCATCCATGCGCTTCTTGCGCTCGCTGGGAGCTCTGCTGATAAGTCGTCTGACGAAGCTGCGACTGGACTTGTTGCCATTGATGGATTCCTGGAGCGAGCTGGCACCTTCGAGGGATGGCCGGCGAGAGCTAGAGCGGGTTGACGTTGCTTCGGGTGCATCGACAATGTCCTGCTTCTTGATCTTGCAGAATAGTGTCGAAAAGAGGTACTGCTCGCCATTGCTGTCAAAGAGGGGTAGATGACGAAATCCCTGCTGGACGCTGTCGAGCTTTGCGGTAAAAGTGGCCAGAGGTGCATGATTGGTGGTGCGGGCATCGAGCGAATTCCACACGGTCCAGCGCACAAAGACGAGGCTGGGATACCTCGTGGTGACCGTCATGTCGATTTCGTTGCCGAATACAGGGTTGTAGCCATTGCCCTCGACGATGCGGGTTCGCTTTCGGAGTGGATTACCAATGCCAGAGTGGCCATTGCGTGCAGAAGCATCTTGTCCGCCGAAACCGGTGGCGTTGGCGCCCATGTCTTCGGCGCAGTACATCTCGAACTCTACGTAGGGATTGATGTTGGCTTCTTGACCGAGCCCGCGAGGGCGTGGCAACTGTTGAGCAGAGATGATCTTGACCGTGAACTTGACCTGCTTCTTCGGGGCCTTCCTGTGACCAAGTGCGGGTGTTTGCGCCTCGAGCCGAAGGGCAGCAGGCTTGAGCACATAGCCAGTGCGGTCGTCTCCGCCTGCAAACATGGCTTCATTCAGCTGCTGTCCGAGATCGTACGTCTGCCAATTGAGAGCAGCCATCTGGACACCGCGTCGCCAAAACTTGAGTGGGTCAAAATTCGACGAGTTGATGCGGAACGCATGTGGGTACACGCGCATGAGACAACGCATGTTGTGGTCTTCGAGCAAATGCTTCTCGCGCGCACCAGGCTTGGTCAACTTTTCAAAGGCACGCTCGTTGATGGAGAAGACGTGATTAAACGTGTTTGCGTCATTGCTGCTAAAGTCGGAAAACTTGACACCTCGTGTGTACACACCCAGATTGCCAAGCTCCCGGGTGATGTTGCTCGTCTTTTTCTTCTGCTTTCGCCGATCATCCATTGTTTCCGCCGCAGTCACATTAGGACTGTCACTATCTTCTGCTGAGCTGACAATGGCAGAAGTTGGTAGTGTGTGGTTCGAGGTGCGGGGTGAAGCCCAAAACGAGGTTGTCCGCTCTGGCGGGCTCATGGACGGTGGGCTTGATAGAAGAGGCGAGTTCGGGATGATGCTGTCGTTCAACACGACAGGACGAGACCACGGCGAACTGAAACTACGAGCTCTGCGTGTAGACAGCTCATTCATCAAAGCTCGGGTATCCAATTCCTCACCGGCGGCTGCCTTGACCTTGATGAGGATCCTGTGCTTTAGCTCCTCTGGGGTCGGAAGCGTTTGCAATGCAGAGTCTAGAGGCTGGAGCACCAATTTGTCGCCGAATTCGGCTAGCATGATCTTGACCATGTTCGTTTGTTGGACCGCGGAGCAATGGACCTCCAGGGAGAGGATGACTGGGTACGGCGACTCGGTGAAGGCATACTTGTTGATGACCTTGATTGTATCTTGAAACAGGATGCTTTTCGTGAGCGTTCGGCCATGCATCACAACAGGAGTGTTGTCTGCACCGTCCCAGCAGTCAATCTCAAGACAGCGGCAACCCTTTTGAAGGGCGCTGATGTAAGCTTCTGTGCTCGACTCCCCAGCCACTTGGCGGCCAAGCAGGTAGGTGTTGTGTGAGCTAGAAATGTAGTACTCGTTCAGTGGTCTGTCGAGCTTCTGCTGAGAGACGACGGGCTTGAGTATGGAGTTGGCTCCCGAGGTGAGGTAGGTTTGGAAAGCCGGAAAATTCATCGTAATTGGGAGCGGAATCTGACTCTGACCCTCCTCAGTCGGAGTGGCTCTAGGTCTCGTGGCGCGAGCAAACTTTTCGAATGTAGATGCCCAATGGTCCAAATTGGAGCTCACGTCGACCCCCTGCTCTTGTTGCAAGAAGCGGAAGAAAGTGGCCTGGTCCATCTCTTGCTGTGGTTTTGGGACGTATAGATTCCAAATCTCATCCTTGATATCTGTGCGCTCCTTGAGGCGTCTCACAAAGGACAAAAATTGCGGTTGGTTTAGTTTACCAGCAGCTGGCTTGTCTGCATCATTGAAGTAGAAGCGAATCGTGGCTTCTGAGCAGTTGATGTGCAGATTGCGGCAAAGCTCGACAATGCTCTGGAAATCCAACGATTCCTCGCCAGCATCCCGCTTCTTCATGGCACGCTGCCAGACCAGTCTTGCACTCTTGTCGGCAAAACCCAACAGGCCGGCCATCATGTCGATGCGGTTGCGTGAGACCGAGTCTAGGGTTCTGGTCCACATGTTGAGGACACCAACGTCGGGTGCAATCAAATGCATGGTTCTGAGGCGGCCTTTGGAGCGAGTCGTGTCTGTATAGACAATGGTAAACCAGTAGGGTGCCCAAGCCTCCGAGAGCCCGCATTCTTCACGGTAGTGCTTTGCCTCGGGGCCTGAGCGGATTTCCTTGACATCATCGATGTAAAAGGCTTTGGAGGGACGTGAGGGGTCCCAGAATACTTTGGCTGATTCCAGATCCAGCCGTAGGTTGATCTCCTTCTTCGTCTTCTTCGTCACTTTCTTCAACACGGTGCCCTTTTCGAGCCGTGAGTTGCGAACCGGGGCAATGACGGCCGAGTCGGGTATGGAGCTGATCATGGGCATGGTATGTGATATTCCCAGGCCCTGGACAGCCTCGTAGGGGTCTTCGACAGCATCCTCCTCCTCAAAGGCATCGAAATCAGAAAGGCCACTTTCGCCGTCGGCGGCAGTCCTGCTGTCGCTTCGTCGGCGCATAATGACGGGTCCCGAACTCTTGTCGCGCTGGGCCGAGGTGTTATTGCCCCTGCGGAGGCGCTGGGCACCCCGGCTCACCCGTCGGATCAGACCTGGGCCCTTTCCCAAAGCCTCTGCCTTGGTTGACGGGGAGGAGGTTGGGCCGGCCAGCGAGGGGGGAGGAAAGATGGGTTCCGGTAGGTGGTACGAGGGAATGGCAGGCAGCGAGGCCGACATGGGGACAATGCCTTCGGGGGTGGATTGGAGGGAGCCATTGAGGTACGAGGCCGTCAAGGCTGGACTGGACCTCGCATTGGGAATGTTGATGGCGGTGGACATGCGGGCGAGGGTAGGCTGGGGTGAGGGCAGGCGAGGCCGGGCATGGCTGTCCTGGAACAGCGACATGGTGGTGGAAGAGGAATTGCAAAAGGCGAACTTGCAGCCGTTGTCAATATGTCTTCATGGTGAGGCAGCAGAGCAGGCTGGCAAGAGTAGCGGGAGGACGGGCGGGGCGCGACTGGAGAATAAAAGCAGACAGGATCAACAGAGCCGGCTGGGGTCCTGGAAGAGGGAGCGCGAGCTAGGAGCGTTTGCACATGATGGAATGCTGGATATCTGACAAAAGGTGCGTGGTCCGGCTGGTCAAGGCTGGGACGAGCAAGCGCGCTGCGCGAGTGGAGGCAGGCGCAGTCAGCTGGCTGTCGTACGTGCAGCAGGTGCAGCAAGAGTGCAGGAGAGTGCAGCGACTAGGGTTGGATATTGGGATTTCTTTGGGGGGGGGGGGGGGGCGTATGATCTGAACTCGACGCAACATAACCCCCTACTACTATTTACTGCTACGACGTCCGTGTGTAAGGAATGAGGAATTTGCACGCAAGCTGTGTATC